AAACTCTTTAACTGACTTAAAATCAAGAGAGAGCTTAATAATCCCCGTTAAAGATCTTCTGACCCAACTCTGACCCTCGGATGGGATATACATTTCCATAACACTCTTCCTAGGTTTCTCCCTAAGACTCCCTTCGGAATATTTCTCCCTAAACTCCAATGCATTCATCCTCGTATCCTCAGTAAGTAAAGCCTCTTTGTACTTTCTGTCATCTCTAACACTCCTACTGGATAAATCTGCCTCTTTCAACTTAGAGGGTCCTGCTGTGGACAAATCTTGAACCAATTTAACTGGACTCTTCTTTACCACATTCCTTGGACGAACATCATTGTATTTTGCAACTCCAATAGAAATCCTTCTCCCATCTATCAGTGAACCATTCAACATATCGATTGCCCTCTTCAAACAAGATTCCCTCTCAAACTGAACAAAGGCGAAAGTGGAAAATCTGTATTTTGGATTTTTGGTTTCTTTCGGAATGAAAACTCTCTCCACAATTCCATGGGACGAAAAAATATCCCTAAGCTCTCGTCGAGAAACTCTCCTGCTAAGATTATCGACAAACGCCTTCCAGACCTCGCCGAAATCTATTTTCCTTTTCAACTTTTCTCTCTCTACTTTTCTCTCACCATTGATTCCATCGAAACAGAATTAGATCCTTGCTAAACAGCTAGCTCCATTTCCGAGATGGCCTTCTCCAACTTTGAAATCATTTTCATCAGCTTCAAGTGATTGTTATTAGACAAGCTCTTAATCCTTTGCTTAACTTCTTTTAGCATATTCACAATTCCCATCCTCTCTTTATCCTTCTTCAACTCACTGATCGACGACACCACCATTTCTTGAAAATCCTTCTCTTCCATCAAATAATTGAACAATTTGAACGGTTTTGGCCCCCAATTAGTCTCGCAGCTTTCCAGTAAAATAACATTATGGTCTGATAACGACTTCTGAAGTAATATTTGAATAATGTCCCAAAAAGCTACTAAGAAATTGGAATCCATCAGAAAACGATCCAGTCTAACGTAGGAATGAGAGTTCCTGTTGTTACACCACGTAAAGCTACCTCCAGCTAAAGGTAAATTGACCAACTTCACCAGAAACACAAAATCTGTAAATAACCTCATCAAGTTCCAATTTTGTGACTTCCCCTCCTTCTCATCCTCGTTCAAATATGCGTTAAAATCCCCTCCCACACAAACTGGGCAATCCACTTGTCCTAAAAAATCTAACACTTCAAATAAAGCCTCCTTCTCTGATTCCACAGCCGGGCCATACTTATTAACAAAGCAACAGTCCCCAAGATTGTCTTTAAACTTCCCATTCACTACTATAAACCTACTAAATATAAATTGTTCCTTCATCTCAAACCAACTCTCAGCCCAAAGGCTGAGAATACCACCTGCCACTCCTTTAGAAAGGGACGCAACAAAATCCCTCAAAGATCTCCCACCTAATTTCCTCACTAAAGATGGCTTCACTAGACTTTTCCCACGTCCATCTGGCTCCAGGTCCACTTGTGAATGGGCCCCAATATCATTTTCCTTAGGAAACCCATATTGGGTTATGTTTACTACAGACCCTTTAGGACAAATCCTAAAATTAGGAGTAATGGGCTCATCTGAATCAACTGATTGGGGCTGTTCATTATATTTCGAATCCACCACCTTCCTCAAACCCAAACCCGCATATTCACATATAAATTCTCTTATATTACTGAGGATGATTGTCCCCTGGTCATTAATATCACCATTTCCTTTCTCCGGCAGCAATGATTATTGACCCAAAGCATCCTCCTCAATAGCATTTCTCCTTTATTTAAGCAACATGTCCACCTTGTTTGTTGGCTCCTCGAGTGACTGTTCATTTTCCACTTCAAACAGCTCGTTTCGATTGCCGCCTAGATCTTCCGACGATGAACCTTCATACCATCCATCATCTGAAACTCTTTCCGACGACTTCCCCATGACATCACATGGCTTTTTAAAAACCGAACCCAACTTAATTCTCACCTTGAATGATCTCCCATAAGAACCTAGAGTAATCACACTCGGAACGTCGAATGGACTTGCCACTCTCACCAGCAATCGTGCCGTCGACAAGTCCTCTCTATACTTGGTAGACTCTTGAATGCATACTAGCGACCCCCACTTTCCAGCAAGCCTCTCCAAGAATGACTCATGCCAGCACAATAGAGGGATTCCATGAAGTTCAATCGAGCAGTACGCTAATGGAACTCCATCATTCAGAAGTGAAGCCAGCCATTCAAACCAGAAAGACAACTCATCTTCTTTTCCCACGTCTCCGATAATACTTCCATCGATCTGAAGGTGATAATACATTAATTCCACGCGTAGCCCCAACTAGCGACCCTTGCTTCGAGACCATCACTGGAAAGAGCCTTCTGCACCAGTTCCAGCTCAAAGGAAGATTTTATGATCCCTGTTAAAGAATGTTTCATCCAACTCGACTCTTTTGGAGGGATACACATCTCCCAAACATTCCTCAACCCTGAAGCAACCTACCGATTATCCCCTTTGTCCACCACTGTCCCAGATTCACCCCCCAACCTTTTTTCCGAGACCACCACTTCTTTGTAAGATCTATCATCCCTTAAACTCCTCGGAGACTCTACTCTCTTTCTGATCAACCTTCCACCTTCAGATGACTTTCTTGCTTCCACCTGGACATTACCTGCGTTGGCCACTACTTTCCGAACCTTCTGATTCTTAGCAACCCCCACAGAGACTTTCCTCCCATCAATCCACGAACCATTGACATTCGCAATAGCATTCCTCATACCAGACTCATTAGCAAACTGGACAAAAACGAAAGTATAAGCTTTGTACTTTGGTTTGTTCATAACACTCGGAATAAAAACCCTCACGGTTGGACCATGGTAATGGAAGAGTTCTCTTAACACTTTCCTTGTAACACTCTTGCTCAGATTATCCACGAATATTGTCCATTCCTCGCCGGAGGGAGATTGTCCTTTCGAATTCTCTTGCTCTCTCTCTCTCTCTTTCACTTACTCTCGCGCTTTCTCTCATGACAGGTACCATCCAACTATGTTTCCATCCTTTCCATTTATTTATCAATTGGTTCATAAATATGCTTAACAAGATCAATAAGCCTCAACAAAATCATTTAAATTAAAATACCCTCAATTTTAGTTTGATGATGGCCTTGTAACAAAAATTATCAAACCAAGAAATTAAAAATAAAATGAAAGTTATGCTGTTGAGACAGAAAGCAGGAGCAAATCAATAGAAATAAGGATGATGAAAAAATGTCTAGAGTCGATTCGCTCCCCACTGAAGCAAAAAGTCATAGAGTCTTTGCACTTTCTAGTGGTTCAGAATAGGTGGTTTTTGTCGATAATCTCAGCAGAAGGGTTTCTAGAAGAGCTATTTGGGAACTATTCAAGCGTCATGGTGATGTTGGATAGCTAGGCCAGCAAATTTAGAGGCAGACGTTTTAGCTAAGGCAGGAATAGGTTAAGATAGGGAGTTTTGATTGGGTTTTGTTTTTTCTCATCTTTTGTTTTATGTTTACTGTATTGGGTTAAAAGTTTGGTTGTACTTATATGCTTTGTATTGTTCTTTTAATTAATAAAATTTGAGGCATTCTTTTCCTCCTTCTGTTGTTTACTGGAATACCCTATGGTGTTCTAGAAATTATGAAGGGGGTTTTAACGAGACCTCCATTTCTTATAAAAAAAAATGAAAGTTATACTGTCAATATGCCTGTTTTTCCCCCTAATATTTTCTATGTTGTTAAATAGTTCCCTTTGTTTAGGGTTATGCTGCTATGCTTTTAACCGATTATTGTTTTTTGATTATGAAGTCAAATTACATACGCTTTTTCGATTGGAGGAATATGCTTCTTATCTTATGTTCAGAAGTTAAATTAGGATGTTAATTTATATTTTTGCCTTAACGGTATCTTTTCTGTGAAAATTCTATTTTTCTGTTAGTGTGATTAAGTGATTCTTGTTTGGCTTATACAACAAATAAGTACTTAAAGGATATCATCTTTTTAACTTAAGTACCTAAAGTATTCAATTGTTTTCATCTAAATGCCTAAAGTATTCATTAATTAATGCCACATGTCAACTTTTTTAGAACTTCGATGACAAAGATTGAATAGTTTAGGTACCTATTTTGACATAAAATACTTTAGGTGCCTATTTTGACAAAAAATATAACTTTAGATACTTATTTTGACCAAAAATACTTTAGGTACTTCAATTAAAAAGATGATGTACTTTTGATACATATTTGTTATATAAGCCTTCTTGTTTCCATACTCAACTTTCCTAGTACACTAAGGCCCAAAGTGAGCAACAATGTTCTTACATGGAAGGAATAATCATGTTGATGTCGGTAGTTTAGACTATCTTCTGGAGTTGCTTTCAGATTATGGTGATGGGGTTTAATATCATTTCTATTTATTTTATTTTCATCTTGGAATTTGCAACATAAGGGTTTAAAGTCCATAATGGACTGATAGAGGACAGGGATCCAAGGATAATTAGGCAATAATGAACCATGTTTGCACTCAAAACACTTCATAGCCACTGGGATGGCACATTTATATTCGTTGACATTAACCTCTCTTGATAGTTTTAACCTGCAATAGTGTCCTTTTGTATAATGTTGCCACAAGTTAGAATTCAATATTTTTTTCTTTTTCTTTTTCTTTTGCTTCCGTAATAATGTCCCAAGTATGTTTGTTGTACTTTAAACCTTTTTTTGGAGCAGCTCGGAGCTTTTCGATTTTTCTCAGTGCTACTGGTCTTTTATTCCCCTTCTCTTAATTCCTCAGTAGGACTTTGTCATCTAGCTGATTGGTAATAAAAATATATCTTCTTGATATGTAAGTTATATCTGGTTTATGGCTCTGTGGTATTTGCATTTTTTATATTCCTGTCTCCGATTTCACGAGTTTTGTCAGTTGAACTACAAGGGGTGATCAACTAATGTTCCTCCATTTTCCAGGAAAGGATCTAAAGCAACTGCACATGGATAAAACATCAGAGTTTGATCCAATCAGGCAGCACAGGCATTTTTGTCCATGGATTGCATCGATGAGTGGCGGGGCACCCGGATGGCAACAAACATTATCTGCTTTGCTATGTGGGAATGATTGTCCTCGTTCTTCACCGGCGCGTTCTCCTCCTCCATTTGCCTCCATGATTAAGGTAATTCAAAATGTTACTTATCCAAGTAATGGATCTGAAATGGAAGTATATCCTCAGTTTTACTTAATTTCCGAATCTGTTGATGGCATTAAGGTTTCGAAATCCATAAAGCAATTCGTTGAGGAACTGTTTCTTATCCATGATAATGAAAAGAAAATTTGTAGGCTCTTGTTTTTGCTGGACTAACACCCTTAGTTTTATCATCTTTAGAGGATAGTAATCATCCTAGATTTTATTCTGCAGGTTAACGATCCCGTTGCCTCGGTTAGAAAGCTTTTCTCGTCTCCTGTGGCCAAAAGGATGAAGATCAGCCGAGAACCAGGCTAAACCTGCCGGCGTTTTTATGGTGAAAAGAGTCGAGGCAAATATAGAAATTTGTACCATCTCAAACATAGATATATAGACTGGTTGTATTCATTTTCAGGCTTTGTGAAATGGTAGTCCAGTTTACAGCCAAATGATTGGTGAGAGCAAAGATGAAATTGAATGAAAATGATATTTAGAAGTCAATTTTGAGGGATTGAAATTTAAGATGGTAGGAGGATATTATAAGAAAATTGGCATCTCTTGTCTAACATCTATTTTATAAGACCTATTTGATTTAGAGAAAGTTAAAATAAAAAGAAGGAAATCAAAAACTTTTCGATAGATTGGATATCGATAATTACTTCTAAACTAAAATATATGACGATTATTAAATGAGTAAAAATGGACAGTTAAGATTGACAATAAGAAATAATAGGATATTCATTTAAAAAAATAAAAATAAGTAAAATTAAAAATATTTTATATTGTGTAAGTGGATAACTCTTAACTTATTATCATTAATTATTGCATAAAATAATGATAAAATAATTATAAGGGTAAAGTATACAAATGGTCCCATGATTATATGATTTTGCTTTGTTAAGTCTCTTAACTATTAAATGTTACAAAATGATTAGTTGATTATTCATTATGTTCTAAACTCGTCATCTTTCGTTAAAAAATTAACGACAGTCTGAGATGTTAATCTACTGTCTGATATATTATAGTTGTTTGAGATTATAGGATCATATTTTATCATATCTCAAACAACATACTAATTCAACTCACAGTGCCATCAATTTTTTAACGGAAAATGATGAATTTGGTAGTCGGAGTCTCAACAAAGTAACATAACATAATCGGGAGACTATTTGTATATATTACCCTATGGGGTCGTTTGGTTCACGACATAAGAAATTACCAGGGGAATGGAATTCTCATTCCCCGTTTGGTTGGCCAGTAATCCTATTCCCGGTAATCTTTTTACCAATAGTGAATTTTTTGGGATATATTATCAGGAATGTGATTACCCCTTCCTTTAGGTATTGTTGAATTACCGATGTTTTGAATTAAAATGCCCTTAAATTTTTTTTCTTCAAAAATATTCTTCTTCTGTCGCTGAATAATAAAAATTCTACGAAGGTTATCCAACAAATTTATCCTTAAACTATTTTAGATTTAAAAATCTATAATTAAAATTTTATATGAAGTTCAGGGGTTAAAATAAAATTTTATCCTTTCATTAAACCTATTAATTTTTCAATGTTGTAAAAAAAATTATATAAATTTTATAAATTTAAAATTTTTAAAGAAAATATATAAATTAATTATAGTAATATTATAGTAGAATTCAACTTGTTAAAAAACAAATATATAACAAGGATAATTTCGTAAAATATACATTCGAATAATCTTTTATTTTTTTAACCAAATACTATAATCTTACGTTCTTGCTAAACCAACCAAACACAAAATACAACGTTCTTAGTAATCTTATTCCTCAATAATCTTTTATTCCCCTAATAATTTTACATTCAGTAAATCAAACGCACCCTAATTATAATCACATAAATTATAGTAACAAAACAAATTATACTAGTAGTGTTAGGGTTTAAGTTTGGTTTAAAACCCACCCTCGCATTTTCAACAGGAACCCAACTCCAAAATGGCGAATTCAATAGCAAATTTATCTAGAAGTGTTTATCGATCTCTTCTCGCTAAACCCAAAACTCCTAAACTTTCAATGCCCCTATGCACCACTACCTTTTCTTCCTCGGCTGAAACTTCCGACTCCGGCTCCGACTCTGATCCATTTCCCAACTCAACGCCCTCTGAATCTGCCAAGAACTCTCTCAATCAGAGTCGTTTATACGACCGCCCGCTTGAGAATGGACTCGATATGGGCATTTACAAGGTCCATTCATTTTCACTCTAATGGCTTTGCATCTTGTCTTCTTTTAAAAGATATTCTTCAAATTTCAATGTTTCTGTTTAGAGAATTCTGAGCATTAGCTAACTTAGAAGTTAAAAGTAAAAGTAGAAGATGAAATTTCGTATTAGGTTGCTTTTGGGATGGACTTTTAACTGTAGAAATCTTTAGTATTGGAACTCTGTTTTGAAATTTAACTGGAAATGGTTCTTGGGATTTTGACCGGTTTTTCTGTTTGTAAGCAATTTATGCGTAGAAATCTTTAGTATTGGAACTCTATTTTGAAATTTAACTGGAAATGGTTCTTGGGCTTTTGGGTGGTCTTCCTGTTTGTAGGCAATTTTGGTTGGGCAGGTGGGCCAAACCCCAGTTCAGAAGAAGCTGAAGAATGGTATGGCGGTTACAATGTTTTCTGTGGGGACAGGTGGGATTCGAAACAACAGGAGGCCTCATGAGAATGAGGAACCTGCAGAGTATGCTAATCGCTGTGCTATTCAGTGGCATCGAGTTTGTGTTTACCAAGAGGGATTGGGAGGTCTTGTCCTGAAGCATGCTCTTCCTGGGTAACGTTTTATTCGAAGCATATTTCGTCTACCTGATATTCGGAAATGCTGCTTCTGATTTTCAGATTATCCCATTTTCCTATCCTTTAATTTTGTTCCTTGTTGCCATTTCTAGTATTGGCCCTTTGTATTTTTGTAAAAAGGTACCGAAAGGGTTAATTAATGTTATTTCTTTTGTTTTGGAAGCATAAACATGCTGTGAAAGAGTAAGAGTGAATGCCCTAATATGAGTAAATCCTTAAAGTTATTAGGCAATTTTATTGATGCTCCTGTAACGTATTACATTTAGAATTGCTAATGAGCCATCTTTAATGGATGCTGTTTTTATGATGCATGATCTCATTGCAACCTCTATTCCATTGCAAGGTTTTCATTTGCAGATCTTTCTTTTCCAGCACAGCTCTAAGATTTAGAAAATAACTAAAAATGCTACATGCTGTATATTTAAAGACTGCAGAGATGCTCATTAGAAAGGTTAGCCATAAAAGTGTCTTGGAAGATGGTTCAATTGATGATCTATTTATAGTTTGAAGGACTGAATGAACCACTAATTAACCTATGAATTCTAGATAGCTTTTGGCTTTTTTGTGTATTCCATGATATTGGCCATTGGGTGAGGGAACTATAGTTTGGTCGTTTCTATGAATAGCAGCTTTTCAGATAGAATTGTTTGCAGTACATAAACATAGGGTGATTAGTTACGTTATGCATGAAATTCAAAATGAGGTGTCTAATCTCTCTCTTGGAATGGTTGGAGTGGGATATTTAATGCTATAGTAATCTTGCTTTTTAGCATGTTCTGATGCCTTTTAACTGCAATTCCTCATCTTGATTATATCAACTGTTGATTTTCTTCATTCTTGATCTTTGTAGTAATAATCTTTTCTTTTTTCTCCTTTTGGGTGATGTAGTACAATTGTATATTTGGAGGGAAATCTGGAGACAAAAATCTTTGTTGATCCTATCAGTGGTCTGGTTCGACGATTGAGAGAGGTTTCCATTCGTCGAAAAGGTAAGCATATTACTTTTCTTTTGTTCTATACTAGCTACATGCTTTAGTATTTTACTAGCTCTACTGAACTAAAAAAAATGAAGGCACCATCATGTCCTGCCAATATTTTGTTCATACATATTTTTAGTGCTACATGTTTTGACATGAGTGATATGGATGCAATTTTGATTAATATTTCATGCCGCGTTTTGTTCCTTATGTGACAAAACCAAAAATTCAAATCTGTCTATATGGTCAAATGGGTGAGTGATTTTATCTTTATGTGCATTCGCAACATCCTCTCGAACCTTTTTGTGCTGTAACCTTGAGTCTGACATCTAGACTCATACCCGAGTCCAAGCAAGGTAGGACTTTATGATTAATAGTCGTTTTTTTTGGTTTAGTATCTTGATATTATATATTTTAGGATTTTATGCTTCTGACTTTGCAACATGCCATTACCTATTTTGTTAACATGCCATGTTAGCTAAAATTTTAAGGGCGTTAGGGACAAGTACCACATTGATAACCGGAATTAAACCTCAGGTACCAAATTAGACAATTTGAAAGTAGAGGTACCACATTAGAACAAACCGATTTGTGCCAGACCGCCATCAACCTGTATAAGATTGAAAAAGGTCATAGGTAGTGCTTATAAGAACAATATGTTCTCTTGCTTGAAATTTTCTGTTTTTTTTTATGAATGGTGTGTCCATGCATGGGTGGAACTGATTATCTTCTGGCTTACTGGTAGTCCTTATTTTTCCTGGTCTCGGGTTTTGCTTCATGGATGAAATGAGAGGATTTAGTTGTCTTTTTCGTGGTTGGGGTGATGGCCAGTTAACAAAATGAGCTCGTACATGACTTCTCACGTTCGCCGCAAAATTTGCAGGTCGGATTGTGTTTTTGGGAAATGTCGATAACGCCCAGGGACCGACTACTGGAGAAATGAAAGGTGCTGGTTTTTACTAGAAAGAATTAGTGGTAGTTGAAGAAATGAAATTTTGTTTGAGATGGAAGAATTGCTTTAACGTAGTTATTTGGAGAAGCCGAGTTTACTACCATATGCGAGTATTGTTTTAAACTATGCTGATATGATTTTGATAAGTTGTTGTTTTAGGTTTATTCGGATATAAATATATAATAAGATAAGAGTATTATATTAAACTATGTTAATATGATTTTTTTGTCATTAAATTTTTAGAAGTTTTAATATATAAATATATATAATAAGATAAGAGTATTATATTAAACGTTAGGCACATGAAATATTCAAAAAAAAGTTTGGGCACCGTAACGACGGTTAAATTTCAGTGTTAAGTGACTAGTATCATATTATGGTATTTTTGAAAGTTTTATTTAAATTAAAAAAATAAAATTATATATTTTTTTAAAAAAATAATTTATTTTGTAAAACTTTTTAAAAAAACTCAAAATTTTAAAAACTCTAATTTCAATTCTTAAACTCACGTAACGAAGCCAAATTTGACCATAATCATTACATCTCGTGACGAAGGAAACAGTAAAATCACGACCCAAAATCATGTCTCCGGTGAATTTGAATCCCCAAATTTGTGACACCCAGATGATCCCACAATGAACACGACAACAATAGAGCCGATGGCAAACCAGAGAGATGGCAAGGGATGTGTTGGTGATTGTGACTAGGGTTGCACATAATTCGGATTTCAATCCGATCCGGATCGATTTTTATCCGATCCGGTTTTTTCCCATAGAAAAAAAAACCGGTTTATAAAATAACCGGTTCGGTTTCTAACCGGTTTGGAGGGTCGGATATCCTAACCGGTGTAACCGGTTTCGGTTTTAAAAAAACCGGTTTTTTTAAAAAACCGGTTATAAAAAAACCGATTTTAATATTCCAGATTGCTCATAGGGAACCGATTCCCCCCCAAGGGGGTACCGATTCCTCACTGAATGGTTTGGCTCCGAGATTTCCAGAATGCTCGGAGGGAGCCGATTCCCCCATAGGGGTACCGATTCCCCCCTATTCAACGGTCGAAATATTTGAATTTTACACTTAGGGAACCGATTCCCTATGAGAGGAAACGATTCCCTATGAGAGGGTACCGATTCCCCCATGCTCCAAGCATTTTTATTAAATGTTTTCACACTTAAACGGCTATATTATCTTCATTAATTATCACTAACGTTCAGAAGTGATTCAAGGTGTATTTAAGCAAGCTTAGAAGCCATTGATCAAAGACAAGAAACATCAAGCAACTAGAATCAAGAGAGAATCAAAGAGAAAGCATCAAACCTCAAGTTCGATAAATTCAAATACTTAATTGAAATACTTAATTAACTCAGCATAATTGAAATACTTAAATACTTCCAAGTTTGATAAATTCAAATACTTAAAAACTTCCAAGTTCGATAAATTCAAATACTTAAAAACTTCAAGTTCGATAATTGAAACAAAGTTTACGATAATTGAAATAAAGTTATAAAATAGACTACATTGCCATCTCTTCTTCATCATCTTCGCCTTCTTCGTTTGGAGGGGATATTCCAAGTTCGACTAAGTTTGCTTCCAAATCGGCATCAATTGCATCTTCTAGGGTGGTGATATGTTGCTTACGAGCCGCTCCATCCAAATAATCCTTTAAACAAATGCATACTTCCACCGACTCGGGACTTAGTCTTGATCTCCGTTGTGATATAACCCTGCCACTAACAGAAAAAGCGGATTCCGAAGCTACCGTAGAAGCTTGGACGGTTAGTAAATCACGGGCCATGGCGGCTAGAATCGGAAATTGTGCTTCCTTTTCTTTCCACCAAGCCAAAATATCCAAACTTTCAAACTCTTCAAATGTCATTTTTGATAGAAAATCGCATGACATGTAATTTCCCAACTCGCTACTTGGGGTGGTAGTACGTGATCGTTTGGATTGGGAATTTACAAGAGTGTTAAAAAGATTCAAATTTATGTTACTTGGACGTCTACTAGATGATTCCGCATTCATTCTCATTTGATCGTGTATTACACTACTTGATCCGTATTTAGTTAAATAAATTGCAAACATGTCTCGAAAACATTTGTTAAAATAATTTATTTGGTTTTGGACAAAGTTGGGTTCATCATCGGTTAGATTAAAAGCAAACGCAATTTGTTCAATTAGTGTTTCAACCCCACCAACATTTAACGTTGGGTTTAAAGCGGCGGCACAAGTAAAAATGGGGGGAATCTCCTTAAAATATTTTAAAAGTTTTTCCTTCATTGCAAAGCCAATTTCTTGAAAAACTTCGGTTTCAAATTCAAAGTCATTTAGTCGGGTAGCCAATAAAAATATTTGATTAAGAACCAACGGGCTAGTAGGGTAATAAACACCGGATAAAAAAGTTGTTGCATTTTTAAAAACCTCAAGCAAATCGGTTATTTTGGCTATAGTTTCCCAACTCGAATCCGGATAAATGTTTGGGACATGACCCCTCTCGAAAAGCCGATCGTGAAATGTTTGCAATGTTTCCCTTTGCCTTAAGGCAGTATGCATCATCATCCAAGTTGAGTTCCAACGAGTTGGACAATCCAAATTAGGACCCAAAGCTTTTTTATTAACAGACTTACAAAATCGTTTATAATCATTTAGTCTTTTGTTGTTGTTACAAAGAATCGATTTTATCATTGTTTTAAATTCTAATCTAATTGGCTCAATAACCTCCAAACCGGCTTGCACGGATAAATTAATTATGTGTGCAACGCAACGGGTATGAAAAAACGCACCGTCTAAAATCGGTGAAAGTAATATTTTCAATCTTGGAACCGCGTTTGTATTATTCAATGCATTATCAAAGGATATAGAAAAAACTTTATTTTCTAATTTATAAAGACAAATTACCCGTTTTAAAAGTGTAAATAAATTAGCACCGGTATGCGGCTCACCGAATAATTCAAACACGATTGTTCTTTTCATCAGTTGACAATTATCTTGATCTAACCAATGTGACGTAACGGCTAAAAAAGAATTTCCGGTATTATGAGGGGAACTCCAAACGTCACATGTAAGCGACACACCATAACGGTGTTCTTGGAATCCTAAAATCATTTTTTCCCTCGCCGTACGCCACATTTTTATAGCATCTCTTCTAAGGGTAGTACGACTTACTTGAGTATAACGTGGTTGCATTAGTTGTTGAATTGTTGTCGTGAAATCTTCATCATCAAAGTGGTCGAACGACAATGCTTTTGTAATCACGAACTTTGTAAACGCTTCTCGTAATTTTTCGTTGTCGTAAACAAAAACACCACCTTGCGGTGTAAGATTCGATTGACTAGGATCCGATCTTGAGCGAAGTGCCTTGCATGATTTTGTCAAATGGTTCTTCAACGTTGTGTTTCCTTCCGATGCAAGAAACTTTAGACAAAGTTTACAACGCGCCCTCCTCGAGCCATTTGACATCTCACATAAATCGTAGTGATCCCAAATATCTTTGTTTCGAGTGTGTTCGATCACTCTCACGACTTCAAGGTTTCCCCCGACGGAAGATTCAGCAGTGTTACTCATGATGAACAAAAAATTACAAAACTAAGATTTGAGAGATGTTTAAGTGTTGTGTAATAAGATTTGAGAAAGTTGTAATCAACCAAATACATCCCCAACATATTTATACATGTTTAGGGTGGTAAAATGGTAATTTTTTAAAGAAAAAAAGGTCAAAAACGGGCACAAACGGCTATATTAACGGCTAGTTTTTTAAACCCAGACCGGGTTTTTTTTTTCGGATAAAAACCGGTTTTTTAACCGGTTTTTTTCAAACCGGTTTTTTATCCGGTAAAAAAACCGGTCTGGGTTTTTTTCTCCAAACCGGTTAAAATAACCGGTTTAAAAAAATCCGATCCAGTTAAAAAAAAACCGGTTTTTCCCAAATCCGGTTTCGGATATTTTTTTCGCAAAATCGGATATTCGGATTTTTTATGCACCCCTAATTGTGATTGTGTTGGTGATTGTGATCCCACAATGAACACGACAACAATAGAGCCGATGGCAAACCAGAGAGATGGCAAGGGATGTGTTGGTGATTGTGACCATGCTTGACAAGAGAGGTTAAGGTTATGGATATGAAATGTTTAGGGATTTGGGTTTTTTTATACTTTTTTTTAAAATAAGTTTTTTAATATAATATTTTCTAAATTTATTATCGAAAATTAAATCCCGGACACCTAAAATAATAAAATTTGTAACGCTAGACACTTGGATGATTTAAAAAAAATTAGACACCTATTCGAGAACAACGGTATAGTTTAAACACTTATTTCAAATTGAGCCAAATTCAAAATCAGTTTGGGAGACTTGAGGTCTTGGCGCGCGCTCTCAGGTCACTTTTGCCTTGCTCAAGCTCAAATCAACAATTTGGAGTTTGGATTAAGAAAATCGAGATGGAGGATACCGGAGCAATTCTCTACCAAATTTCATGCCTCAAGGAAATGCTCGATCAGGTGCTCTCTCTTTCTTTCTCTCTTTCGAATTAGTGACGTTTTTTTTTTTTCGTTCTTGAATGAATGATGGATCCGAAAAATATTTTAGAGGATGAACACGTATATTAACAACACAATTTTTGAATGAAATAGTCAAAAATAAAATTTTAAAATCATCAAAATATATATATATGATTAACTGGAAAAAAATCGGATTTCAAAGTTAGTATGTTCTCATCCTCTAGAGCTGTGGATCGGCCGCACCGAATTTACTGGAATTTCTAGTGAAGAATCCAACGATTTTCTTTAATTTAGCCAGTTATTATTCGTTAGGTGAATGAAGAAATCGAATCCAATATTCAAGTAACGCAGGAGATAGAATCAGATATGGTCAAGTGTACGGAGTTCGAAGCTGCTCTTACTACCAGAGAATCTCAACTTACTGTTGGGAAAATAGACCCCTTGTAATTCAACAATCCCTTTAGATCACAACATTAACAAAAATACTTGAAAAATAAAAGAGAGAAAACACAATAATTTAACGTGGAAAACTCCCAAATGGAGAAAAACCACAAGCGTTGTCAAAAGACAACCAAGAAAAAAAATATTTACTATGTGGAAAATTATTACAACCACACTACAAAATATTTAACTCTCACACATGCCCAAAAGCTAAAGTACACCCCAAGAGAATTTCCCTTTAAATTCTCTACTAGTATAGCTAATAGCTTTCTTGTACACCACTTGTATTTTGGTGATTGACATACATTTAACCAAAGGGAAATGTTCTATTTATAGGCTAAGAATTTTTTCATCCTTTGTTCATTTCCAATGTGGGATTTGGCCAATTTTTGCCAAAAACTAACAAATCTCCACCTTGGCAAAAATTCCATACAATTCTTCACCATAAAAACAACAGCTACCTCAATAACATCATCAGCTATGATAGTCACAATTCTAAAAACAAGAATTGTCATACTCCACCATAAGAGTATACACACTTGGAATTCACTAACTCCAAGAATTTTTACCTCGACCAGTTCATGTCGAAAAACTGCTAATAAGTTATGGTGCAACTTCCAATATTGACTTTCTAGGAAGTTCATTAGCCATCGACATCAATTCCACCACACACCTTGCATCAACTGTCAACCAATGCCCATGTGTAAATGTAGACATGCTACTTTTTCATACATCCTTTTCCATGGCAACTCAATTGGTAGCTATCATGCCATGAGGATATATATCTTACTTTAAAAAACAAATTCATCGTCTTCATTTTCAAAGACGACTACATTAGTAGCATCACTTTTGGAGCCATTAGCCGAATTAGCTCCACCGTGTTTGCAATCCTTCTTTAGATGTCCAGGTTGCCCACATCCCCAGCAGATAATTTTCTTTTTGGAGCCTTTATACTTCTTCCTATTTCCACAAACCGACAATGCTCCACTTTCAGAAGATTTGTTCTCTCCATTTTTCAGCCTTCTTTCTTCCGAAATCAGCTTACTTGTCACTTCTGAAAAATTCACATTCTCTTTCCCGTACATTAAAACGGTTTGCATGTGCTCATAGGAAGATGGAAGAGACCAAATAAGTCTCAATGCTTTATCTTCATCATCAATCTCCACTCCAATAGATTCCAGTTCAGAAACAATCCCATTGAGTGCACTAAGGTGGTCATAAATTTTTGTACCTTCCTCCATTTGCAATTTGTGAAATTTCTCCTTCAAATATAACCTATTTGAAAGACTTTTAGCTTGGTACATTTCCTCAAGCTTTTCCCAAAGCTCCTTCGTTGATGACCATCTAGCAATATTAGCAAGAACATTTTTTGCTAGACAGAGACGAATCTGACTTGCTGCTCTCATGTCTAACTCCTCCCATTCTTCTTCACTCATCTTGGATTTTCCCTTGTCTCCACTGTTGTCACTTGGTTTATCTGGTTCATTTCCTTCGAACAAAGAAGTTGGCTTTCCCTTTAAGGCCTTATACAATCCAGACTGGATTAGTATATCCTTGACTTGTACTTGCCACAACCCAAAATTAATTCTCCCATCAAATTTCTCAATATCAAATCTGAAACTCATTTTTGCTCAACAATGCTCCAGTGATCTCACACATGAATAATGAGTAAAACAATTGTGTCTACAAAATGCACTAAGAAAGTTTCCAGGAAAGATTGGGGGGGACACAAATGGTACCGCTTAAGTCCCAACCTCCTTAGGCGATTATAGCCTTTGTGACAAAACTTTCTTGGCTGCACTTACACAATACCACACTCAATAAACACAATAACGTATTTAAAGGACCTCCAGTTGGACCACAACAATTTCTAAAAAATCTTTTCTGATGTAGAAGATCGGACAAAGCCGCAACCACAGAGCATACTAAGAATTTTAAAGAAATTCTTACCCTGCCTTGAAGTTTATCTTTTACCAAACCATTTGCTCTGATACCAATTGTTGGGAAAATAGACCCCTTGTAATCCAACAATCCCTTTAGATCACAACATTAACAAAAATACTTGAAAAATAAAAGAGAGAAAACACAATAATTTAACGTGGAAAACTCCCAAATGGAGAAAAACCACAAGCGTTGTCAAAAGACAACCAAGAAAAAAAATATTTACTATGTGAAAAATTATTACAATCACACTACAAAATATTTAACTCTCACACATGCCCAAAAGCTAAAGTACACCCCAAGAGAATTTCCCTTTAAATTCTCTACTAGTATAGCTAATAGCTTTCTTGTACACCACTTGTATTTTGGTGATTGACATACATTTAACCAAAGGGAAATGTTCTATTTATAGGCTAAGAATTTTTTCATCATTTGTTCATTTCCAATGTGGGATTTGGCCAATTTTTGCCAAAAACTAACACTTACCAAGTCGCTTTACATTTCTCACTTCGAAATCGATGGCTTGCTCTCCGTCTCCGGTATTTCTTCTACTTTTTACATTTTTTTTGTCATTGATTATTCGGTTGAAATATGATTCTCTGGGTTATAGCCGGTTCAAAGAATTCGCTAAAATTTGTGGAGGATAAGTTGAGTTGTCTAACAACGTAACGAGATGAGATGCTGCAGAGGATCGAAAAGAAACGGTATGTATTGGGTTATCTTCTTTGTTATTGATCTGAATAAATTTATGATGTAATATATCAGATGGAGTTAAATTGTGGTTGCATTTTCGGTTAGGTTGCATTTACCGTATTTACGTACATAATTAATGTTGTTACGGTCATTGTAGGTATCTCAATGTGAACCTTTTTTAAAATTTTCACATAATTTATTGTAAAAAATAATAATTTTAATTGTCGCAATGAAATGTTGGGATTTCTTTTTAGTTTTACCGTGACAAAACATTAACGAGAACAGAAACTTGCTATTGTCACTACCCGTTAAATTGAGGCCCCGATTACTATATAGCAGCCGCTATTCCACTACTCGACCTTTATTTAAATCCCTTATGTATCATCTTTAGCAGTTTCTTAACATTATTTTCAAGTTTGCAACTAGAATAAAAGGGGTATTGTAATTAAGAATAAATGTAGGATACATTCCTATATATTTATAAACTTGGCAATCAGTGTATTTATATCATAACTTCATAGAGTCATATACATGTTATAATTGTGATTAAGGCATTAAATATTTATATAAAATTCGATTTGCTAATTGTAATAATTTATTCAGATAATGAAATTCTTACTATTCGTTTTACAGAGAAGGATTTACCAAACTGTGCTTAGAATTTCAAAGGGAGATCGACAATGGGGAAAACAATGAGATGGTGAGTTTGCTGTCAGAGAAAGAGCGTCTTGAGAAAGAAATTCATCTCTTGGATAAGAAAAATAATGCTTTCAGAAATTCGATGTCCGCTTTTGTGGAAGAAGTTCTTGAGGACCTTTATACTTCAAATACTGGTAATACTCTGTATCCCATTGTTTTTGTTTGAGCTTCCAATTTTAAGGATTGGCAGTGCTTGTAGAGTTAGCTTCATACATGATTAGAAATTAGAAGAAGATGCATGATTTTCCCTTCTCTCCGTTGTTTGGACTACATGTTATTCCTTTCATCTTTTTGATTCCTGGTGTTTACTATTATCAGGGACGGACCTAGTGTTTTATGTTAGGAGAGCGAACTTAAACTTGTAAAATTTTAGACAGGTGAAAACAGAATTTCAATAGAAAATACATAGAAAAAATCTAAAATATATAATAATTTAAAATTTTCAGGGAGTGACTGCCCCTGCCTAAGTCCATCCCTGCTCATCCGCTCCCTCGATACGTCTCTGATTGTTAGTGGTCACTTTTTATTTACAAGCCAGTGTTTATACCACAGCACCATCGCCACCACATTGATATACATTTCTCCCCTTTTGTTATTGGATCAGGGAACGTAGTAAATTAATGAAAAGTAGAAATATACAACTGTTGTATTTGAGAAAAGAATTCCCATAGTATCCTCAATATATAGAGTTCAGATAAGAAACTGGGAGCAGGGAAGAGTCGAAGAGGCAGATGGGGCAATTGTTTTCCTTGAAAATTCAAAATTATCATAAATTTTAGACTTTTTCCATTAAAAAGTTATTTTCGTCCCCTTGAAATTTTATAAATTCGAGTCCCCTAACATAAAATCATGTGTTCGTCTCTGTTTGGGAGCATTACAGATAGATAAAAAATGGCAAAAGGGTAAGTTTTGCCCTGTAGTAGACCGAATTTATCACTTTCGCCCCTATCGTATTTTCGTATCAATTTAGCCCTCAAAGTTGCTCATTTGCATCATTCTATACCTCACCCCTAACTTAAAACCTAAACCCTAAACCAAATCACATAACATCTAAACCACAAACCCTAAATTCTAAACCTAATTTAGGGTTTTAAGTTAGGAATAGGGTATAAAATGATGCAATTGAATAATTTTGAGGGCTAAATTGATGCGAAAATACGATAAAAGTGTAAGTGATAAATTAAGTCTACTACAAGGGTAAAAATTACTCTTTTGCCATAAAAAAATTAACAAGTAAACTCCGTTCTTGACAGAAGTATCAACTGTATTGATTTCCCTGAAGCAACAAGATATATAATGATATGTTCCGGGGATGTTCATGAAATGCTTTGATATCAATCAAAAGAAATGCTCCTCGTGAAAGATGCATGCTAGTGTAGAAATTTATTGAGATGACAAACAGTCATTCACTCTAAGTAGGTTGCCAAAATTCTTCAAGATTTCTTTGACGACATATGACCTGTCGTATTTTCTTGTTCCATGCAGTTTTACATGTTGAGATACAGAATGGGAATCAAGAGAATGAAAGATTAATTAAGGGATATTGAGGATTTAGAACGGACAACTCTTTCAAAGGTCGCTAAATGATGATAGTGCATGGCCTTGACTGCTTTTATTCATTGTTCTTTTGAAAATATGATCTTTGAGAAGTGTTATACTGCTACTGAAGAAAAATATATCGTGTTGTATTTTCATGTGTACATATTGATAGTTGTACCGTTATAACTGAACTCATACTAGGAGTTGGGGTGGTTTCTGTTATTAGGGGTGTTCAAACGTGTTCAAATGGTTAATTCGATCAGTGATCGAATTAAATTAGTGCAAATTCACGTAAAAATTATATGTTAAACTACATATTTAGTATCTAAACTATCAGTTTTGGTCCATTTTAGTATATAAACTTTCAATCTTTTCAAAACCATATCTAATGTTTAGTTTTTGTTTTGTTTTAGTGCCTTGCCGTTAAAAAATTAATTCATTTAGTATTTAAACTATCAATTTTAGTTTGTTCTAGTACCTAAACTTTCAACCTTTTTCAAAATTTAACATTAAATTTTGAATGAGATACTAAAATGAAACAAAAATTAAACTTTAAGTATGATTTTGAAAAAAAATTAATAATTCAAGTACTAAATGCGTAATTTATCTCGAATTATATTGGAATCATCATTTTCTTACATGTTGATTTAATGAAATAAAAATTTTTTTCTCTTTTAATTCTTTTGATTTAAATATTTAGTAGATTCTTGTTCATCCTAATTAGGGGTGTTCATTCGGTTAAAATGGTGGCTGACCAAACCAAAATACCCTTATTCGAACTTTTTTTCTTTAACCGTTAACCGAATCGAACTTTTTTTTGAAAGTATTAACCTAACCGAATAAATTTCGGTTAATTTTCGAATTAACCGATTTTTTTTATAATTTTATAATTTAATATTTTTTAATTAAAATTTTTTTTACAAATAATATCCAATTAATTTGATTCAAACATTTTACATTTAGTATTGAGATTATATTAATTAATTAATATTGATTTGGGTTTTAAATGGATTGAGCCGGCTAAGTCTCTTAATATAATTATATTTAAAGGTTAATTCGGTTAATTAACCGATTTCGAACCGAATTAACCGTTAACTGAATTCCAAAAAAATCCTTAACCGTTCCCCGACCGAACTAATTTGGTGACCGACCGAATTAACCGAACTAATTCGGTTCGGTCGGTTAATTCGGTTAAAACCGAATTTTAAACACCCCTAATCCTAATGTTTGATCTTAGTTTTGTCCTTGAGTGGTAAATTCTTTATGTAAAGTTAAATATTTGAATTTTAGCATTATAAATAGAAACAAATTAAATAGAGAAGTTTGTTCCCATCATAACTTGACTACCAATTTAATATCTATATCTACATATTAATAAATTTTAAAGTATCCAAATTGCATGATTTGAATTTAAGAACTCAAAATTACATGGATGATTATAAGTAGTAGTATCTGTTCTAGAGGCACTCAATCATTTAACGATAAACGTTTAAATATCCCATAGTAGTTTATGCTCAAATTCGAGACTTCTATCATTTTAACCACTGAGGTAACTTGATCCATGTTTAATTATTTTTGAATTTCAATTTTTTTGATACAATATTTTAATAAGAATCTAGAGATATTGGTTTTATTTACTTATCATAATCTTTAATCCTCAATTTGTATAGCAAGATATACCATACATATGAATAACCCTTGAAATTTACACTTTTAAATGTAAAATAGTCAATTTAATATTGTGGCGCGAGGATGGATCAAGAGAGTTGGCGAGGATGATCTCGTCTTCTAAAATTTTAAAAACATTATATAATTTAGATATTTTTTTTATATTTTCTATTAATAATTTATTTTTTCTTTTAAAATTTTATAAATTTATTTTTTAACATAAAATATTATGTCCGTTTATGATAACAAGAAATGGGTCAAAAACTTGGTAACACACTAATTAGTTGGATTGGATGCATGGTCAAGACTGCAACAATTATTAGTAAACAGCTAAGCTAGTGGCACTTCACTGCTTCTTCTTTTATCCAAAACACACTTTCCATTTTAACCACAAGTTGTATTCAAGTACATGATTTGTTTTGGACAGATTCAGAAACATCTTTAGTTAAGACATCCATGTGGACCTTACTTTAGTTTAGCTACAACTTTGAAGTCAGCATATTCACACTGAAGTTCACTAGCAAGATATTTTTTTATTAGTTTAGGGTGAACACGATACTCTAAATCATTTAACATCGAACGCTCATACTCTTGCATACGTGATGTTCGAACCCGAGAAGATAACAATAATCTTTTAACCATTGAGGTCGCTTGATTCGAACTTTATATTTTTGTCACCCTAATGCTATGTTTTCTTTCCTTTTTTTAGGTTAACTCTTGAACTCAGATTTCGGTCATCGCTCATCATGATTGGTTAATACACCGATTGTCGTCTCTTGTCTCTATCATTTGAATGTTTTTTTTTCGATTTTTGGTTCAAGGGACACTCTTCTACTACATAAGTGCCTCTATGCACATGAATAATAGCAAACCTATAAAAATAAAAATAAATGAATCAAATAAACTTAAAAGAAAAGACAATAATAAAACCAAATGGTTACCAATTGTCGATCCCTTGCAATGGCGCTAAAAACTTGTTACCCATAAATAAGATGTACGGTTATACAAGAATACATATCAAACAAGTAATATAGTAATAAATGAGATCGTCTCCACTTGAATTGAATTGACGACTCAATGATTGAGTTATTGTTTATGAAAGTGTGCACACGCACATTAGTCGATGGTGTAATGTCCTCAATCCAATCTCGAAAAAAATCGAATCATGAATGTTAACGGAACATAAACCATGAAACAACCAATGAACATATATAAAAAAATGTTAAATAAGTAAAGTTATTTTATGTCAAAATAATAAAAATCTATTCAGTATTTAAATCTTAAATTTAGGAGGGGCAAAAGTCTTATTTAACCAAGTTTTAAATTTAAAAAAACCTAAAATGCAAGTATATCAAAAATTTTAGGAGGGACGGTAGTCCTCCAAAGAGACGAAGCTACATAAGGATTGGGAGGGCCTATTGTCCCTCTCAAAATTTTTGGTATAATAACATTTTAGGTCCTTTTTAATTTAAACATTAGTCAAATAAGGTCTTTACCCTTATTTTTAGATTTAAATACTTAATAGATTCTTATTCTTTTAATATAAAACAATTTTATCCCCTCAACATTTGATCCTAACTCCGTCCCTGCTCCTCCAAGTCACTATGTAGCTTCGTCCCTGCCACCTAATATGTGACCCTAAACCTACATGGTGTGGAAATCTATCCTTTTAGTTAGAACATGAGGTCATGTCTCCTTGTTCATGCACAGACAAGCAGAAGACTTGGTCTGTAACACCCAGTTCCCGTATATGTTTCTATACACGAGTCGTAGATGTCATATAACTTTTAAAACTTTTCTTTTTGAAAAACAGTAAAAATTTATTTCCAATCATAAAATATTTTAATTTAATAAAAATAAAACGTTCATTAACTTATAATATGTAAACAAATCTTAAAGTTCAAACATATTTAATTTTACATCATCATAAGTCAAATATTTTTAAGAGTATTATCATAAATCTATTACATGCCAACTAACAACATCAAAAGTAGACATAGTTATCGTACAGTTACTGATGAGGCGACCCTTGATTGACAATATCAGATGCACTCCTTACTCTGTTCGTACTAATACCTACGCGTGAAATCAACACACACTAAGTA